ATAGATATAGGTTGATGAAGGCAGGGGACTGAATTGGGGCTACAATATTCATGATTTGAAATAGCAAGAAATCACTTATGTTGGTGGAATGCACAGATCATTATCTCATTTATCAAGAATGTCCATACTTGTTATATTTTCGCACTTAACTAGCTATCTAATTCATAATCTGACCATAAATTCATCAGTAGATTGAAACAAGTAAGGGGGAGGTTTTGTAGAGATTCATGRAAAACTATTGGAGATTATATAAATATAACTATATGTGTTGCTATAGTCACCAAAGCAATTCCAGTAATTAAGTCTACGTGGAATTCACGAAAGAAGAACGAACATATGCGTTATCATTGGAGAAAGATGGGATTATCCTTTATCTCGTTAATGCACTGCATCCGTTCGTTATTTAGGTGTGTCTAACTTCTACATTGTTATTCCAAACAATTTTTGTTTCCATAAAAAAAGAGAACCTTCTTTCTCGAAAACATCGATCATTTGCACGATCATCCGGGAAATAAATTTTTGTGTAATTACTGCATYTGTTTGATCATTCAARGATATCTAGAAGACAATGAAYGTGCAATCACACAAACCACTTTCATCCRTATATTTTTTGTTACTCATAGGTATAAAGTACTATAAACAATGATAAAGTAATTACATAATCTACACTCATCCATGCGCCTTTCTACTTAAACTGCTCTGATTTAGGAARTCTATTRATAGGGTCATTGATMGTTTGTGTTATCGTTTCAAGGGGGGTTCTTCCCCTTCGAGTAATACACGCGTCCTTTGCTTTCTCRAAGTAAAAACTACTGCAATAAAAAAAAATTAYAATTCATCTGGTATTTCGACTTCAGAGGGGTAAATGAAGCGTTCATATGCATTTGAAGGATTACGAGATATCCATAGAATCTACTCGAGAATTGTAATGATATTTTTAAAAAGCTTGGGAAATAAAAATGTTTAAAGTGCATTAGTCTTGGAAACAAATACACAAGATCATCCATGCAATAAGGAGAAAAAAATAATTCGATGAAGTGAGAARGGATTGGAGAATATGAAAGATTACGAGATAGGAAAAGCGCTACRTTAGTTAGAGGGGAACACATTCGGAGCCCAACTTACCCTGTTGTGTAGGGGTCGCACAAACGGGGGTGAGCGCCAAGTGGTTGAGAGGGATATCGAGATGGTGAAATATCACGCGTTCTGCTGATGAAGGGGCTTGTCGGCAGGATTGAGCTAGAGCATAGCCGCGGTAGAGATGGTGACTCTACTGTAACAAGTCTTGTCGGAGTAAGGTSAGGGGGGTTGAAGGGGGTTCGGGTGTGTTAAGTTGAGTCATCATAGGTAAGYAARCAAATTTGTTGAYATAACATAGTCCTTTTCATTTTCATTACCATCAAAGGATGTTCCCTTCTCAGTCAATCCCCTGGATTTCAGGGTAATCAATGTTGGCAGGGGGAGGGCCTCTCAACTTTTCTTAAAAACGATCCTTGTTGAAGCTGTAAATGTCCTTATGGGATGCTGGATCCGGTTTCCAGCACGTGCTGCACCCTAAGGAAAAGAGGTGCGGGGATCGCAAAAAGGTGGGAGGATGATGGAGGAAGAGAAGAAGTGAGATTAAATTTTACAGCAAACAAAGCGCAATAAATATCTTATTGAAAAAAAATCAACGTGGCTAGGCCCGAT